CTGTGATTGAAGTTTTGCTATGATTTAATTTTGGCTGAATCTTAAAAAAAGAAAAATATGAATGTTCAATCAAGAATGAAATTCAAATGAAGTTTCCACTTTGGGTACATAGTGCAGCCACATGCCATCAGTGTTTGCAGGGTACTCGCTGTCACAGGCCACTAAGTCATTGATTTGAGTAAAAGAAGATACAGTGAATTTTGTGGAAACTGGATTTTTTAATTTAATATTGCTGGAAGGCACGTGACTTGCCCAGCTATCACAGGAATCTGTGACCCCTTCTCTTCCCCTGTGCCACAGGAACTCACTGGTTCAGTTGTTGTCCCTCAAGGAAACAACAGGCCAAATTCATTACTGCCTTAAGAACCGCAGACTCATTTGGGCAGACTTGCATGAAAGATGAATATGGATTACTGACCACTGGTGGCTGTGGATAGCTGGGAAAGGAATGATTGATTATCTGTTGCATTAGCAGCAGGAGAGAGACTGCAGGTCACTCTTTAGCTAAGTGGTATAATTTAGCTTTTGTTGAAAAAAAAAAAACAAACCCCACACAGATGTGCATGTTTTTTGCATCTCTTCAAAAAGCATTAGCCAAAGAGTGCATTTGAAAATATGAGATATAGATTGTCATACAGGCTGTAGCTGGTGATGTTCCATACTATGATATTGATATGCTATATCATTTATTTCCTAACAGAAATGTGATCATGGCTTGGTTTGGAAGGCAATCAGCCCAGCAGCTTGTCATTGTGTCTTTAGGACTCCTTGCCAGTAGCAAACCACCCATCAAGTAGAAGTTGTGTTGCTCCTAAATAAAACATTTTACATCTGAGTTCAAAGCTGCTTCTTCAAATTATTTCACACAGAGTTCTGTTCCCCACCATCTCCTCCCCTGAGCAAATCTGGTTTCGGCATCAGCACTAAGCGTGTGTTACTAATGTGTGCCCTAGTTAGCTGGGATGTAAAAGAGGAGATCTGTTGTTTTAAAATACCCTTTTTCTCCCCATTGGCTATTACTTTCACCCTTTGTTTCCTAAAATCCTCTGCCAGTACTTGCTACTGGCAGATTTTGTATTTAAAATAAGTAGCTGATACTTGACTTGAAAAGAAAGGATGAAATAAAATAGACTTACAACTTCAGCTGTGCAGACAGGAGAGTGCTGGACACGCATTCTTCACCAAGCATCCCTCGCTGGGAAGCAGCTGTAATTTAGCTGCTCGTGTGGAAGCAGTCAGTCTGTGCAGCCTGCCTTCTGTCCTGACCTGGCTTTGACAGTGCACTACTGGGGTCGCTTTGCACTGCAGCTGACAGACTCTTTTCCTTATTTTTATATAAAATTTTGATTTAAATTATAAACAAACCTGCAAATAGCAAAAGACAATTGATGCTTCACTGATTATTCAGATTATTGAATTTATGGGTCAACCATCTAAAAATCCAAAGGAACGTGTATTTGTTTCCTGATTACGTTTTATAGTCTAAAGATTATTTGTTTTCATTAACAATGAAAAAAGTTTGTGTCTTCCTCATGCAGTAACTCATTAACTGCTCAAGCCTCCTTTGCAAGTTTGGATACAATGAGATATTTCATGTGCTTGATCTGCATGTTGATAACAGGGGTTTGCATGTAGATCAAAAGAACGATACAACCCAGCATTGTCTGTGCCACAGCTTCCAGCAAATGCTTATTTAGAAGGCAACGCTTGGCTTCCCTCCAAAGGCTTAATTCTAACAATCAGATCAAAACCAGCCTGCAACCTACCACTTTTCCCATTGATAGGTCTGTGCGTACAGACCTACCTTTGACCTCTCCCAGTTTGTTTCCTTGCAGTAAACACCTGAAATTTGCTCAGCTAATACAATAGCCCTGTACTTTTTACAAAAACGCCTGTGGTTAACCTCTGTGGGCTGCATTCTGCACTGAAATGAAGGGTGGTAGAAGTTAAACAATGGGTGTGACTACCACAAGATGAGTGTTAGTGGGAAAGTGGTGTAACATCCACTTAGCATTCCAGAGATGTGAAATATAATTATGATTTAAATGCCAAAGATGTAAGCTGCAAGATGAGTAACTACAAGGACATGAAAGCCTCCCTTATCTTCCTTTCTGGCTCACTCAGAATCATTTTGCACACCCACAAAACTAATACAAGTAGTGTCATTTGACAAAATTACACCTGATACATGACTTGTACCGTCACTTACATTTCTGTTGGTGTGGGCTCTGTTTATACCAAGGAAAAAATTCCAGTTTCATTTACAACATTTTAAGTTGGAAGTAATTTTGCTCTCAGTGGAATTATTCCCTATTTACACTCCCACTCAGATCAGGATCTGACCTAGGCTTTGAATTTTGTCCTATTTGCTCTCATCCTTTCCCATGATAAAGGGGGGTCCTCTACCTGTGGAGAGCTCCTCACACCCTCATTTATGTATCTTTGCAGAAATGGTTTATGAACGGGTCTGTAATGTTAGAAACTGTTGACTAAAAGGAGCCACAGGAGCAGCTGGTTGCTGAGTGTATATGAAAAGCTGCTTAATGCCTTTTACATCATCTAGCATATGTGGGAAGGAGAGGAATAAAGCAAAAGTGCAACCCACACCTAGATGAGGGGCTACACAGTTCTGTATCAGTTCCAACACTGAGAAATTAAAGAAAGAAAAAATAAGTTGTTGGTGGGGGAGCAGAAGCAACTAGTGGGGTAAAAAAATTGTCAGTTCTAAACTTTTAAACAAAATCTTTATAAGCAGATTCTTGGTATGTTTAAAATCCAAAAGCAACAGGTGAGATTACAGCTCTGAGCGAAGGGCATGCACTGTCCCAGGTTGTGGCCTTGGAAATTGTCCGATGCATAGATCAGAATTTAAATGTGTATTTTAAACATTTTTCCCCTGACATTATTCCTCTGATTTCCTTTATAGATTACATGAAAACCTAAGCTGAAAGTTTCTAGTGCAGTACTACCTTTTATTAGCTGTCAGCAGGGAACAAAGAGCATTACCAGCTCCACCAGAGGCAACACCTTCAAATAAAAGCAGAGGGGTGAGGCCAGGAGGGGCTCTAGGTGAGGACATGATTTGGGACTCAGTTCGTGCTAGGTGAGCCCTTGGAATTGAACTGTACCAAATATGTACTTGACAGGGGGAAGCAATGATTTTTCAGATACATGCACATACACAGCTTCGTGTATGACTAACGTTGGTGCCTGAAATGGAGCTGTAGAGTGGATCAAGTGAAGCACTTATTCCAAAGCGTTTGATGAGCTAGGACTTCCTAGCTATTTCATCGTGGATATTTGTTTCCTAGAAATACCATAAAGATTTACTAGAAATACTTTCTGCTGGGTAGGAATAATCGTCTTTATGTCTTGGGGGAAAGTAGATGATTGGTTAAACACTTTAAAATACAAATAGCAAAATAAAAGTGTTCTCTCTTAAGGATCAGAGAAAAACAGTTTCATGTCTGTACTTCTTAAGATCCATAACAGAGTTCAAGAAGCTATAAAAAGTCCTTAGATCATAGCAATGGTTAAGACAAAAAAGGGTTTGGATTTTTTAGCAAAAAGAACAACAGACCAAACCCTGTCGTCAGGTTAGTGTCTGTAACGCTGACTTTGGCGAGGAAAACACGGCGTGACTGTCTGAAACCACAGGATGACCGTTCTGAAATATTAGTGACAGCCACTTGAGAACTGTATCATCTGAGAAGACTTTGGTTCAAAACCCTCTTCTACTCTCCCCACAGGCTGTAAGGAGATGAGCAATAGCCACATTGCCAACCTTTCTGCAGGAGCTGGGGACAGGCATTAGGAAGCAGCTTTTCCTGCCTCACGGAGGGAGGGAGTGCTCGGTGCAGAGGGCAGTTCGGGCTGTCTGAATGACCCTGCTCCAAACTGACCTCCGGAGGAGCCATCCCAGTGCACAGCTCTGATTTCAGGGTAGATTCAGCCACAGTAACGAGAGCTCCAGGTTGGCAAATGGATCCTGAGCCAGACAGATAATGTCCTGTCCCTGACACTTGTTCCTCACTGCATCCATGTACTTACTTTGCAGTGCTGCTGCATCTTCCCTTTGGACAGTAAAGTACCTTTGACAGTTGAGGCTTCCCTAAAACAGAAGTCATTGTTTCTGTGAATCCAATCCATGTCAGAAGTGCTGTAATTCCAGCAGTGGATTTGTCTGAGGGATAGTGGTGGTCTGGGATGAAACAGTGTTACCACTTACATGATAAAATACTTATTTACATAGAATAAGAATAGGATTTCATTCGTGATTTCTGACAAAGATTCTTATCGCACCTGGAGGCTTATTCAGTGGGCTCAGCAGGTACACAGCTCTCTGAAAATCAAGACATTCAGGACTTTCCTAAATCCACAGTTAGTCTGCCTCTCCTCCACTGCTTAGATAAAATAGCTTTCATCACCTTTTCATCACATCAAACTCCAGCTGAATCATTACTACATACTGTAGTGGTATCACAAATAGGCTTCTCAGCCTCTGAAACCTGTACTGGTTTTCAGCAATATCATGGTGGTTTTATCACATATTTTACTCACAGATTTCAAGATGCTTTGCAAAGATAGAGTCGGCATTGGTACAACAATTTCACAGGAAGGGGGATGCTCAGAGTTTCGGTGACTTGCCCAATGTCTGTTGCAAAACAGCAGCGAAACACAAGCCGGGCATTCTTGTACCAGACTTGTGATTCAGCAAAGCACTAAAGCAAGTGCTTAACTTTGAGCAAGAGCTCAAGCTGTTTGAATGGAGACAGATTTAAGTATCAGTTTAAATACTTTGCTGGACTGAGTCTTCAGCTTGCAACAGCATATTATTGTTTACAGCTATTTCAGGTCTTTTCATACAGCTTAGCATATCTTTAGATGGTGGAAATATTTTTAAACTAATTCAACTGCATGGATAACTGTACTGCTTGCTGGCCTTTTAGCAACTCAAATGTTCATGCATACGTTTGGTGTTTTGTCTTGGGTTTTTTTTTAGATGACACCCGTTACTCGACAAGAAGTTCTTGGCCTTTACCGGAAGATATTCAGAATAGCCAAAAAATGGCAATCAGCATCAGGACAGATAGAAGAAACTATTAAAGAGAAAGAGTATATTAAAAATGAAGCCAAAACATTATTCCGAAAAAACAAAAATGTGAGTGTCCTTACAGTTTTGAATTTCTGAATTATTCTCCTCTTGCTCTTTGCACTGTCTCAGTGATTGGATGCTAAGATAAGAATATAAGAGTTGATTTCACAAAATTTCATTCACCTTAAATGCTGATATATTTGCGTTACAGCTTAAATTTCACCCCTGTAATAGTAGTAAGAAAACTCAAACCATTCCAGCTCTTCATTAACTACTGTAGAAGTCTAAAAGGTCTAAAGCTTTCACTAAAAAATGCCAAGAACAAATTAAGTTCCAAAGATACTGCCTATGTAATTGAAGCAGCTTTTGATCTTTTAGAAAGCTAGCTAAGTGTATCATTACCCATGCAATGGCAAACACAGCTCAGTAGCTTCTTATACTTCTTTTTTTTTCTTTTCAAAGCAACAATTATTGGCACCACTTTTAAAAGAAGCACTTTATTTTTTTCTCAAGGAAGAAATTTCAAACCTCTTTTGAAAGGAGCAATACAGACTCCATGGTAATGAAAGGTCCTTCTTGTAATTCAAGATCACAATGCTTATATCTCATTTTGGCCTAGGACTAAATTCAGGCAATGCAAAATAAAAAAATTAAGTCACAATTTACACCCCATTTCTGACTTCAAAGGGAGTTTCTGAATAGGATGATAACAGAAAGCAGACCAAGGAGTCTCTTCCCTTTCTCCTCTAGCTACCTTGCAGAGCAACAAATGGGTGAGTGTGGTTTTCTTCATGGATATATTAGTAGTTTACATGTGTTATCTTTTTACAGAGAAAATACCATGTTTGGGTAAAAACCTCCTATAGCCTCAGTCATGACAGCCTCTGGGCCTTAATATCCAGCACCATCAAGCCCAGAACTGTTGAGTCAAGGCAAATACTAACGTTACCTTTTATGGATGTGAAAAATTGTATCCTTGGTATTGCCAAAAAAGCTAAAGAAAATCATGTGGCTGTGTATCATTTACACTTGAGCTTCCAATTGCTAGTTGCTATATGTGTACAAAACATTTGTTTTTCTGATCTTAGGTAACAGATCCAAAGTTGATTAAGCAGTGTATAGAAGAATGTGAGGCAAGAATAGAAATTGGACTTCACTATAACATCCCCTACCCGAGACCTGTGAGTATAAAGCTAGTCACAAAGTCTTCAGCTATACCCACTTACCTCTCACTGGACAATAAAACCTTAAGTTCACATCACGGTCACCACACTGCATTTTTAGATAGGCCAGTATTTAAATATATTGTAGAAGCTCTTCAAAATAAGGAGTCAAAGCCTAAATGGAGTGAATATTTAGGCAGTCTTGACCAACCAATGAATCATACTATGTAGAAAAAGAATCAAATCTGTTAATCTTTCCACATAATAAAAGAGAAAGAGAGAATAAAAATACTCTAATTACATCTGCCATACATACAAAAATTTTCATAGCCTACATTACTGGTAACTGCTCTCCCAGTCATAAATCAGGTCTTATAAAACACCTGCTTATGCTGCTGCTTCTTTTCCTCTGTTCCTAGAGAAAAAGATTAGCAAAAGATTAGTCCAAGATTAGCAAAATGCTGGAAGTTGCAGCAATGTCTTCTATTGCACCATTCAGTGTAGTTTCCTCGCTGCCCAGTCACTTCTGTCTGTAGTACTTTATGTTGCCTCCCATAGAGGCTTCCTCTCTACTCCTGTTCATTACTTTCACATCTATAGTTTTCTTATCAAGGTGGTTATGGTCAAAATTAAACAGTATCTTCATCAGATGCTTGCCTAGAATATGGTCACTGTTAGCATCTGTTTCACATATAGCTTTTCTTTTTCTCCAGTATACAGAATAACAATGCACATCTGGCAAACAGTGCTTCTAGAAATGGGGTTTAAAATGTATGCTCTGCAGTGGCTTCAAAATCCCAAAGGATCAGTCCTAGATCAGGTCTCTCACACAAACTGAATGATCATTATTTTTCAGATTCTAGAAATCTCTACTGCTGCTTTAGTCAGTGCTTTTACTACCTTCTGCACCTAAACAGCTATCATACAGGATGACGTGTCAGCAACAATAACATCTGACTGTTAACACCTACATTTTTCAATCACTTAGGGAGGGATATAGCTGCACGACTCCCACTAACAGTCTTATGAAATATAAAGACTTTGTCAATCAAAGGAAGAGCCTGTCACCTATTGCTCCTTCTGCTTGTGGAGTCAATGACATTGATTGTGCATTTTAATATGGTGACAATAAGAAAGCAGTCTTTCAAGACGTACAGTTTGTGACTTCTTAGCTAGGTATGAATAAAGCACACTGCTTTATGACATCTGCTCAGGAATTTTTAGACTTTTCTAGGTCTTACTGTTCTGGAACATTGTTAGCAGTACTATTTCAACAAGTATTTTATCATTACAGTCTGATATGAAGCTACAAAACAAAGTTAGTAGAGCCTAAAATATATAGAATTTAAATAAACACAACACTTAGGGCCTGAAAGTTACACCACTTATCACTCCCCAGAGAGCACTCCTCCTAGAAATCTAATAACCTGGTTTGAGACGGTACAGTTACCCTCTCCAAAGTGTGAAGAAATAATTTAAAACTCAGTGAAACCTAGTCTGTATATATGCCTCCTTTTTTTTTCTGTAGCATCTCAATTTGCACCTAATTGGTGGTCTTTTCTTTTCCAGATCCATCTGCCTCCTATGGGTCTTGCCCATAAACAAGGCCGTACATTGCGACACCAGGAAAAGTTAAGGAAGATTTCTAAGCCAATATACTTGAAATCCCATGATGAAGTTTCATAATCCATCATTTAATCTGTGATGTGATTACACATGATTTAAACTGTGGACTGTCATCCAGGTGACTTGTGTGCACAACTGTGAATGAAGCTGGTCACTTGCTCACACATTTCCTGAGGCCAAAAAGCTAACTGATACATTGCATATGATGGATAAGGTTGGTCTACTATTTATTACATTTGAACCACTGACTCATCAATAAAAATAACACTTTTCAAGGAGTGAGGTGTGATACAAAGATTACTTTGACATTAGGACAAATTACAACAGGTTTTGAAACTATGTTAATCTAGAGCAGGGTTCCATGGTGGTTTGAGGATTATGTACATTCAGTTGTGATTCAAGGCAGCGCCTTGTGTAAGGATCAGCAAAAATCAAGAAAGTCCAGGAGAATCAAGGAGACAGTGCCTCCAGAGCTTCTGAATGCAAGTGGATATAGTGACTGCATCATGCAGCTGCACTCCTTCCTATTTTGTCCTTGCTCTGCTTGTTGTCCCTGGAGAAAGGTTCCAGTTTCATAGTATGCTTATGGTGAAGTCTTGTTTCTAAACAGACAGTAGTAAAGAGACAACAGAAATGCCACCACTCCTTGTTTTTCCTTTTTGCAAACTGCAGGGACAAGTGGCCTAGAGCCTTTGTGTCAGCTTTTTTTCCCTTTTCCTTTGGAGAGGGTGTGGATGTGAAATGCAAAGTTTGTAATGCCATTACACAACTCAGAGTAAAACATTCCAGTGTTGGGTTCCTCAGGTTCCCATGCATGGACTGACTGAAAACTGTCCCTTCAGGGTATCACTATGAGAGCAAGCTTAAGATGCTCTGGGTTGTCTTCACTGTGCACTTTTACACAATTAGCTTTTCAACATAATCAGCTCACTGGCTATCTCAAGAATTATTTTAGTGTTAGGTTTTAACTCTTACATTATGGACAGAACCTCAGCTTTATCAAAAGAAAGTATCTACAACTGTCTCAGTCTCTTAAGTTCAAGGGGTATTTCTGTTTCACAGGTGCCTCATGAATGGAAGTGAAATGAAATTAATTTCCCCCTCACTGGCCAACAATTGTTTTGATTCCTTTTTAGTCCTCTGGCTTTACCAAGCTGTTTATAAAATCTCTTCAGGACAGTTAGTGGAGCCTTCTCTCCTCCAGGCTAGAAGTACCAATGAGACCAAGCTGTGGACAAGAGCCACGCTGTACTGAGAGACTACATAAGCACAGCTCACAGCTGCTTTAAGGACAGAGTGTATAAGCAGTGACCTATTCCAGACAGAAGTTAATGGTGGCAAAAAAGCAAATTTGAAAAATGCAATGTACATTATTTCCTATTAAAGTGAGCTAAACCAATGAAATCTCATTTTCTGAGCTCTCCAACTCATCCTAAACTCTCCAAGCCCTAATAGACAATGGCAAAGAAATACGCTTGTCTACCTTAAAAATAAGTTAAAACTGGTCATGTGCAGAACAGAATGACAGCTCCTCCCCCAAGAATGTACTTGTGAGAGTGAAAAAAATACAAGCAGATGAGGAAGTACAAGGAAACAATGAGAAGAGTGAATCAGCATGACAGGTACTGGCTAGCCCAATTTCTCACTACCCTTTATGGCTCCAGTCCACAAAAGGTATCTATTCCCATATAATTATTTCCTGGGAATGCCTTATATGGGAAGTAACATGTAAAATGCCATTGTTCAGCCTGTCAATTGGAGCTTTGCAAATTTACTGCTGCCAGGAAGACACAAACCAAAACTTCTTTAAGCCTAGGAAAAGTGGGACGGAATAAAGACACATGATTATACACACTGCTTAATCCTTCATTGAGAGAAGTCCAAATACAGTCTTCTCCTATCCTATATTCTGATACACCAGCGTAGAGATGTGTCAACTGAGCCACACCAAAATGTGCGGAGAGAAGGCTTTTGAATGGAAGCTTGGGCTCATTCTTTGTCATTAAATGATCATTTGAATCCTTTTAATTGTTAAAATTCATGTGGCTAATGAAGGTACTGATGGTGTGACTCATGAAGTGAATAAACAGCTATGTGAGTGAGCAGCCTAAATTTACTGTCTGTATTATAGTCACTTACCATAAGATGTAGATTATTTCAAAGCAACATCCCTAAAATCCCAGAAGATTTACCCCAGTTGAAATAACAATATGAGTTTGAGTTTATTTCTGAAGGGAAATATAAATACACAATTTTTAAAAGACTCAAGTAGCTTTAAGTAACTCAAATGAGTATCTACTTGCTTAACTGAAAAGCCAGTAAGTTCACCTGCAGTAACAGCATCACATTAGTGGAGATGCTTTAAATGCCCATTAATTTTTCAAAAAGAAGGCAAAGACTGAAATTTGTTAAAACTTCAGGTTTTTGAGCTAAAGGAAGGACTACATGAGCTCTTTTGTCAAGTCTGGAGAGCCAAAACCCTCTTTCACAGCTTAAGTTAAACTCTGTATGGAAAAGAGAATCTGCCTTAAATAGAATCCTTTGGGTTTGGATGTCAAACTGGCAAACTACTGTTTTGAGGGAGATTCATAAAAAAAAAAAATTCATCAGCAGCTCAGTCCAGCAGGTGGGCAGACATCTCAACTGGTATTCACTATATGAAATTCCAAGGACCATATAACTTATCTCAAGAAGTATGCCAACAATGGTGCAATATGTCATTCCTATGCATTAATTTTACTTGCAAAAAGTCCCAAAATGCCTCTTGCGTTGTCAAGAGTTTGTAATGCACTGGATTCAACTAGGCAGTGTACACTCTGCCATGTACTTCCTTAGCTTTCTCTTACTCCCCTTCCAGTAAATACTCTTTCCAATTTATCACACTAGTCAGGAGATGCTTTTAGAATAAAAGGATGACATTAATTTTGTATTCTTTAGAAACAAAAATCCCGAATCAGTTGCATGAACTCTCCTGCAAGATAACGGGTAGGCAATGCAGTAGTAATTTGTTGACATGATACCTGGCTTTGGATATCTAAATCACACTTCCTCTCTGGAAATTCTCTCCCTAACTCTATCATTAGTAAAGTTGTGATTTATGAAGCCTTGTGCTTATGAAACTAAATTTAACACTAATATTAGCAAGCACACAATCATTTAAGAAGACGGACTCGGCACATGCTTTACTGAATGTACCCCTCGGTGTTTAGGGCTGAGGAAACGCTCATTAAGTTGCTACAGTAACCCAATGTGTTCCAAAGGAAGTATCACAGAACTGAAACAGGCTAAGATGGATTAGGTTATCTTCCTACTAATACAAGTTTGTTCTTGTAGATCTGGAGAAAATAAGGTAACCTGAACCTCACTCTCTTGGGGACCTACGATGTATCCATCAGAAACTATATCAGTAACATCCATCTTTTATCCACAGACAGAGAAGCCACTTACTTGATCATACCTATAAATTCATTATCAAGAATGCTAATTACAGAAAAAACCTGCACCTTTCACTGATTTTTCTAATCCTATTAGGCAAAATATTCTAGTTTATAGGAACTTACAGGAAGTAGAATAATTCAGGGCCTTTGTATTATCTTTTGCTTTTTCATTGTATAATTTTTCCTGTAACAGCTCAACAGTGTTAAAATCAACAGAGACAGTACTTTCTGTTTCTGAAATGGATTTTTGAGCAGATGAGATAAGAGAAAGGTTTCAATCTCCTAAGAAAATGTACTAACTGTATCTGTCTTACAGCATCTCTAGCTGAAAATCTGTCTCTGTTACTTCTAAGGAAAAAATATCTCTTGCTCTGTAATGTCTGGTATACTACATTTTTTTTTCATCTGCTTTGAGTTATTAGGAAGGCTGTGACTCTATGATTTGCGGTAATTACAGGTGGTTTGTTTAATGAGCTTCTAATTAAGAAATGGAAATACTAAACCTGTAAAGCCAAGAATCCTAATACCACTAGTACAAGGTACTTCATGTGTCCAAATTTTGTCACATTTTTATCATGTCTAACTAACAGCTGAAATGCCTTTTTCTTTCTTTTAATGCATCTCAGCCAAGAAAGGTTATGAATTCTAATGTTTAGCCAGCTTATCATTCTACAGGAAGGTCTAGAAAATGCTCAGGAAATAAGGTTGGGAAGCTCATTTCAATGAACCACTGAAAAATATCTCTTAAGACAGATACCCCTCAACAGTAAATTCCATGACTTTTTCTCTAATAGTAAGGACAGCCCAGGAAATCAGGTTCTTCAGGAATCATCAACTAAAACAACTCAGCCACACCCGATCCCTGGTGAAGGGGAACATAGCAATTGGCAGATGCACAACTCCTCTTTTATAGACTTCTTATAAACAGTGTTAATTAATCTTAATTTCTTTATAGTTCTTCTGAAACATTATTCTTTTCTCAAAAACTGTTGTTTGAGTGGCTGTGCTTTAACATTCATAAAGTTTTGTTTTTGCTAGAGGTGCCAAATACCATTTAGTCTAAATTGTTAAAAGTAGTTTCTTCCTATCAGTAAATTGAAATGCCTGCACGCCTCTGTCCCCTTCATTGAAACAAATAGCCATTAAGTGTCCTAGCATGACATTTTTGCCCCAGTCACCACGTAACAATAGTGACACACCAAATGCCTGCATACTGTCCTGTTTGAGGTATCAGATATGGTACATGAAGATACTGTACTAATTACCAATGTATATCTTTGTGCAGAGCAGTACTGTACAACATACCTGCAACACTTCTTGCTCACCTGTATGTCACCATTCTTAAAAGTTACTATTTTATGAATATCTATATAAAACAATTAGTCATTAATAAAACAATAATGAACACTATTTTTACCTATAACAGCTAAGCACAACACAATAAATTCATATGACAAGGACCATATGGTATAATGAGTTGTAGCAGCATCACTTATTGATTGTAGCAGGATATTGGGAATTGCTGAAGTGTAGCTGCACCTCTGACTTTGTGAGGCCTCCAGCAAGTCATTAAAATGCTGCAATTTGGGCAATGAAAAAAAAAATACAAGACCCCAAATTAGTGGATGTTTATGCAGTGGGGTTTTTTTAAATGTTTGCCTTTATCTTTGTGCTTCTCTTGTACTGTGTACACAACAAGTCTAATGATCTATCTTTAGTACCTTCTTGGCATGCTGTGGGGATTAGTTAATGACTGCACCGCTCTTTGAAGATGTTCAGGCTATTTTATTTTTAATTAATGTTTGCAAGCTACTTTGAGCTTCTCTGATGAAAGGGCTTAAATAAGAACAAAATTTCAGGTGGTTATTAGTCCAACACACAAGAGGGCAAGATGAGGAAGTAAACTGAGACTACAGGAGAAAGGAAACAGCTCCATTTATCAGGCACTTGGGATATGTAGGAAAATAATACTGAAATAAAAAAAGTTTTAAAATTATGAGACGAGCATACTGCCCTGAGAAATGGCAGGATCCCAATGCATGTGCCATCTAGAATTTTTCCATGGAAATTCTGAGGCACATCTTCAAGGAATGTCAGTTACTATAGTTTTATAATGCAGCTCTGGCAGTTCATGGTAGCTGAGGATTGGTTTTACATGTTGACAAAAGACTATTCTCATCTCCTCTCTCTTTGCCCTACATACTCCTGGGACACAGAAGTGGTAGGCAAATCCACAGAGTCCTATTTGCAAGAGTTGTGGATTAGATTCCCATTAAAATCAGCAGCAAAACTCTTTGGGCCCAATTTCATTAAAAAAAAAAAAAAAAAAAAAGCCGTATGATAGCAACTAGGTGGTAATATTAGGATTTCAAAAGATTTGTAAAGATGTGGGTGGCACACAGTTTGATGGAAGTCCTGTTCATTCTGATCTATTGCAAGATAAAGCCCAGGCCTTTGAAATAAGTTTCTGTTTGTAGTGTTCTATTTTCAGTCACTCTTGTTCCGTGGCTGATAATGGCTAGAAACCAAAGGAAATTGGGAGCTGCTTTGAAGTCAGTAGGAAATCCTGATTTTAAAAAAAAAAGAAAAGTTACAGCCATTGGGGAGTAAAGTATATCTTTTAATAATAAAATACGAGTGTTTCGATTTACATACTCTCAGTCGTCTAACTGGCATAGTGCTGCCACACCTCGATTTATCCAGTGTTTCTGGGGCTTGTCTGAAGGGAGTTCAATTGAGAGAACATAGTTGGTTGAGTGTCCAGTAGTGGATAAGACACCTCTTCTTGCACTTGTCTTGTATACAGGGCATGAATAGATGTTCATATGAAGAAATTTGGAACTTTCTCCAGGTTTCAGCCAAATTATGGGCAAAGAATCAAAAAGGATTTTTGGAAGTGATTCTCCAATTACCGAGGATTCTCTATCCCATCGTGCACCTTCCAAAAAAAGGCCTCTCACATAAGCCCCATCTTCTGGCATTTTCTCCATTGTGTGCTCCTGTTTCATCACCTAGAATGATTAAACCATTTGCTTGATTTTATTTTTATCCACAGAATATTAAATCCTGTAAGTGATAGTCTGAAATTACTCATTTAAATAAAATTTATTTTCATTTGAAAACTCTATTCCTTGCTGCCCCAGAACGTGTTTCAAGCTGTTCAAGAAAAACAAAATTCCTCTGCATTTTCTTACCTCAAATTCAAATCCAATATGGTCAATTGGGATGGTGTATTTTCTGGCATAGTTTTGTAAAACACCGGTCAGAAAAGACTGAGTGAAGAAGAATCCTGAAAGCCAAAAGACTGTGGGCGGCCCATTGATGACCCAATCCTGAATATGGAGAGAAAAAACAAATGTAAGAAAAAATACAGTTGTGGCTTCACTGTGCCAGTTTACCAGAGAAGGAATGTATTTTCAGATACACTTGAAAAGCACAATGAGATCTAAACCTTGATGGGACTCTCTGGATACTACCATTAGTTACATATTTTTCAGAGACAACAAATCACAGAAGTTAGTTATTTATGATGGCAACAAAAATAATCACTCATTTTGAAATAGCCAGAACTCAGTGCTGCTGAAAGAAAGAAATTTCAGAAAGTAGCATATTTTAAATCTAGACAACAGCCAGCAAACCTCCCCTCAAAAAAAAAACCAAACAAAAACCCAACACAAAACGAAACAACAACAACAAAAACCCCCACAAACCCAAAACACCAGAAAAATTACTTAATTTGGACACTTTTATCAATATAACCTCTTTTACAGTCTTCTAAACACCAAATTTCCTAACATGATAAAAGGCCAAATTTTCTTGCATAGTGTCTTCACCGATCATTCTGTGGGCACTCACTACAGCCAACACATCAGATCCTAAGTAGAAGAAATAATTACAGTACAAAGATGCCAGACAAGTAGATCTTGGGCCAGTATCTTCATTGGATATGACAAAGGCAGTAAGAAAAATAAGGCAAGGGCAGAATGTCCCCACAGTACTCCAAGCCATTTGGAGTCAAAAGAAGCCCATATGGTACCCTGATCAAGCAAACAGGAAACTCTACTGCTTATACAAATCTTTTAGACGCATCTTTCTAGCTTTTTCCTCCCCTGCCTTGTATGGGGTTCCACTACATCTCAGTACCTCAGTTATTTAAGGCGCATCTGAAATTTTAAGTAATTTCAAGAGAGTACCAAGAATGCAAGGGAAATAATGGAAAGGTGAATAAAGAATAAAATAGCTTGTTCAGAAAGTATGTGGAAATGGTGTCACTTCTTATTAAACTTGAAAGATATTTACAGTGATATATATAAAATTTAACAGTGCCTGTTATGTACTGTTTCTAAAGCATCCTCACATCTGGTTCAGTGTCCTTTAAGCAAAGGACATTAAGGCATCAATGCAAAGTAAAATGCATCATCTAGAATTAGAAAAATGGAAACTACCAAATGCAGCACTGGATTAGCATCAAAGGAGTATACCCCCAACTCACCCTGCTGAGCAATTGCCCAGCTAATTCCAATGCTGCTAATGCAGTATATACTTGGTCAAGAACATGTGAAAGTAGTTCACAATCTGGAGCCATAAGGGTATTGCTGAGTGAGAACAGTACTGATACACAGTTTACCCATTCAGCTTTTCAACTACTGAGTCTTTAGACCTGTTAGTCTCAGTTTAGCATACCTGGAAGAAGACCAAACGACAGAGGAGATCAGACACGTAACCTCCCAGTGGCTTCAGTGATGGATAGGATTTGGCAGCCCACATTGATGGTACTTTTCCCATTAGCATGCTGTTGAAAACATCTTCAAGTTCAGATGACATCAACACTTGGCCTTTAATGGCTTTGTGTAAATTAATGAGGCTGCTCCGAACAACTTCAGTAAGCCTTCAGATAAAAAAAAACCAAACCTGTCATGTCATTGTTTACTTATTACTACCCAGCTAAAGACCTCCGAGTCCAACGTGAATGCAGAGCCGATTAAATCTGGTGAATGTCCTGTCAGAAATTCCTCATCTCACTTGTAGTTATCAAAACCTTACTTAACTTCAGAAAAGCAAACAAAGAAAAAAGACACACAGAGAAATGGGAAATAATGAAAATTCCTGTTCTAGACAAGGGAAATCAAGTGACAAGAGCTTTTAAGATTGTGACGATAATTAACATAGTGTGCTGTGAATATTGGGGCCTGGGTATGATTTAAAAAGAAAAAAGTAGGCTGCCCTACCTCAACACAACAAACTCAAATCTGATTTCAGTTCATACCCCAAGAATATAGGTACTATTTTGATATTCAGGTAGTCAGCTGAAGCTTTCAAGTCTTTTTAATAAGGTTCCAAAGCAGAATCTATCATGTTAAGAACAATGCATGGTAAAAGGCTTAGAACTGGCTAGCACTGATAAACACAATCATATTTCAGTTTTAGTAGTGCTACACAAAACCCTGAGCCATACCTGTTAAATCGGATTAGTTCTTGCCTAAGAACTGTATTCATGGACTCTTCATAAAGTACTGGGTATATCTTCATAACCTCTTTAACATCAAAGCCACTTGGCAATTTGGATAGGATGTCCTGTGCCAAATCTTCAACAGTTTCCTGAAATCACAAGTTTGCAGTGGATGAGGAATCACCCTTTTTTTCCCTCTGTTTTTATTCAACAAATTCCACAAAACAGTATAGATTTTATATTTTTTCCTGTATAACTACATAGGTATTTTAGTCCATTTTCCTGAAGAAATAATGCTTACATGCTCAAAAACCAAGTGTTCAATGAGTAATAACATAGACTGCAAGTGTCATTATAGCCCATACATCACCAGGAAGATGGCTCTTGCCTCTATTGGGCTTGTAGTGCTTGCCTGATAGCTGAATAACTTGATATAATTTCCTGGCATTCTGGAGTCTGTCCCTTAGTGAGAATGGCAGGGAAGGTCATACAACCACTGCTGGATGAAGTCAGGCCAGTGCATGAACCTCCTCATTTGAATTTGTAGACTGGAATTAAATGTCATACTTGTAAATTGCCTAGAGATGGATATGATTTGAGGTGCTTTACCAACTGTGATTGTTAACTGTGCTCTAACTGCAATTCATGACTGAAGTGAAGCACACTTCACTGTTATTTTAAAACATTAAATATGCAAGAAACATTCAAACTGCATGTTCTACTCAGCTGGGTGGGGTTGTGTGGTATTAATCTATTTCTATTCAAAGTCATTAGGGTATCTTCCACCTTTAAAGGTTCTTCTATGCCAAATCTGTCTGCTTCTCTAGAGGGACATTCACATCTATTCCCAGTGCCACAGTCATGTGATGAGAGGTGTAGGATTACTCTGAGACATTGGGCATGACAGGAAAGGACACCTTTCCAGAGTGCAAATTGATCTTTTTTCCCATTACCTGAGGGGACTTGCCACCTCCCCCTGCTTCTCTAGGCAAAGTTAGGAGCACTCCATGGAAAAGCTGGTTTGTCTCCTGGTTATCCTTGGTGATGTCTGCGTTTTCATGAAGTCCAAACACTTCAGGGTGTGTTGTAATTGGTAAGCTTCGTATGTATTCAATGTAAGACTGTAAAAGAAACATTTAGATACCAGAAATCATGCAATGCTGTATGCACAAATGATCAGCAAACCCAACTTGGACAGAACCTTCCCATTTACAATGACACACTTTAGTTCCCAGTTAAACACATTCAGCAATTTACTTACTCAGTCCAGAGAGATAAATATAGAAGTTTTGAATGATTCAAAGACTCACTGAGGAGTTGTTCTTACCATCCTCATGTAAGTAGCAAGAGAAAGCAAGAGGAAGGAATGTACATTACAAATATACAAGGAGCACTGGTAGGAGTCACAGATGAGGGCAGAATGCCGTATGTATCACCCCTACAACTGCAGGCTACACAAATAGGTGGGATTTGAGCACATTCATTATCTCCATGCAGCTGTTAAAGGGAAAAAGGGGATGAAAATTGAGTATATACTGGTCATTCCACCTCCTCATCCTGATCACTGCTTTCAAGACAGAAGTGGTTCCAAGAGGGTGCAGAAGTACCCTGTAAAATCCTGAAGCCTGACTCCTGCTGGCTTTCTAGAACTGTACCAGGAACCTGCACAAGAGTGGCTCTTTGTGTCAACAAACAGAACACTGGCTGATCACTACATCTCCATTGGGGGCTGTTAGAAGTTAAGTACCAGATTCATATTTCATACATGAGATATATTCTGGCATGGCTTTGTGATCTTATTTTTTTTTTATTTTCTATTTGTTGTATTCAGCATATCAAAGTACAGTGTAGATAAGGTTTTTCCTAATAACTCAGAGACAATTTACATCTGTTATCTTCTCACCTCATATGGACCATGTGGTGGTATGTAGTAGTCATCTCCAGCTGCAAGCATATACTTCTCCTGTGCTATATCCTTGCTATAGACTATGGAAAGAAGGGACAGGAGCAGACGCCTGTCTTTATCATCTGTTACTCTGCCTCCATAGTTACATTCCCCTGGGAATGGACAAAGAGAACCAGGATGAAAAATTGAAAGTTAATGAACAAATAAAAATTGTTTTGCAATAATATATAGGTCCAGTAAGTTAAAGTTCTGAAACTCCAGATCTTCAGAAGTTCTTAGGACCTATACTTCAACTGATTCAACGGAAATTAGGCACTTTAACACCTTTGGAACTATGGGCCAAATTTACGGGTCTTAATGAAAGGTTTGAGGAACACTGTGAGTTGGTCTAAGAAACCAGTACTCATGCCACAGTAAATAATCTCATGTTTTAAATGACAGCTCTTTTGCTTGAAATTCTCATGCAAATTTTTAGAACTGTCAAAATCTGATAGCTGATCCTTGTCCCGCTCCTTTCATGCAAATTTAACCTGATTACATATGTCTAGTAGAAAACGAGGGATCACAAATATGCAACACCCCTGCACAGAAGGGGTTGGAGAGATTTAAGTAATGGACAAGCAATGAAGGGAGGTTTACGCTGATGTGAAGTACAGAAAACAGCTAAAACCTCACAGTTACTACTTTAAACCTGACTCCTGAAATTCTTTTTTATAAAGCTAATCATCATATTAGCAAAAATCAGGAATGCTCTTTATAAGGTTGACAAAGGAGGTGCAAAGAAGCAGCTATCTTTCTGGAGAAAGAGAATTGAATAGCCACACCAACCAAGTTATTTACACAAGTAAACACCTTCTGCTTTAAACTGATGAGTATTATCATATCCTCTGGTAAACTGCCAATGCGTACTGTCTCAGGATCAGATTGATCAGCTAAGGTGAAACAGAGGCCATTGATGTTTTTATTTGACATTTTATATGAAACAAAGTCCAGGAAGTCTCCTGGACCATTAGTAATTCTTCTAGATATGTATGAACCAAGATAGCAATGATACCTGAGAGTTTGAGATCCAACTTGTCTGTATGTGGAAGGCCAAGAAAGTAAACCTGAATGGAATCCACTCAATTTGTCAATAACCCATCAGATTATCACTGTACCAGCTGAAAGAGCCTAGCACATGTTAGAGGGTGTAATGCCTGTACCTGTTAGATATGTCAGAGCTTCAAATGGGACTTCTTCATATTCATTAAGAAACATCTGGATCTGTCGCATACTGATTCTGAGGTCAGATTCGTTGAACTCATATGGAATATTCCAACCTGTTCAATTCAGAAGAGATACACAGGGCAATGGTGCACTTTACTGATAACCATGCTCAGGAAATGATGGTATTGGTACTATCCTGCTACTACAGAGCTGAAGAGTACAGCTGCCAGACAGTACCTAGAAGCAGCCCTGGAATTTACCAGGTTGTTTATCACACAAGGGACAATATGACTCCATAACAATATTGTATCCTAAGGCACTATTGCCATCATTCTATATAATTAAAACATAAGCACATGCATTTTGGCATCACACACTCCTGAAAAATTGTATTTTAATCTTAAGTAGCACACAGACCTGCTTGGTACTTTCAGCTAATGTCTTGCAATCTGGAGACTATAAGAACAGGAGTTTTAATTCATTGATTGATTTTAATTTTCAATCAATCTTCCCATCTATTAATGTTGTTTGTATATGACATTCTGAGTAACAGTACAATAAAAAAACCACACAGGAGCATACTCCAGATAAAAGAATCCTTCAGAAAACCTATACCCCTAGTGCAAAACAAAAAATAGGGCTATTGCTGCAACTATCCTTCTACCCCCAGACAGCTGGTCACATTAAGCAGTAGATGTTGCTTTTGAAAATGACCCCTTCATCACTTACAGAAATTATATTTTTCCTCTAAAGCAACAAACGGGTATTTTCATACTGGCAGTCTAGCATTTACTTAAATAGTTGCCTATTAAAATAAGGACAGTGGCTTTCAGTCAAAATATAATATTTTATAACAGTAACCTGTTATGACCAAGACAGACTCAGTCAGAATGGAAGGCTGAGAACTTCATGCACACCAGTGGAGAGTGTAAGGTTTATATAGTTATAAAAATGGAATCTATAAATCCATATATTTTTACATTTTATGTAGAAATTCTATACAGTTCTCTAAATATTTCAAGACTGTAGAAAAAGCTGAAGCATAGATCTTACTAATACATATTTTTTAATTGCTGCGTTATGAACAACACACTGCAGCTACACAAATTTGTTTCACACCAAGCAAACATATGCACTAGCTTTGATAAAACAAAGCATACACATAAATGATAAAAGCAGAACTGAAGATGATGCATCTTTAATTATAAAAATTTAAAACAGAACTGGATTTGATGGTTAGTAAGAACTACAGTAATGAATTAATAATTTATTAAGCTATAATTTAACTACTGTATAATATATTTACTTGGAAAACTAGTACTTTCCAGTGCTCCCCCAGGGTAACACTTTAGTAACTTCAAAAATAGCTTTGCCTGAGTAAGAATCCCTGCAAGTACCAGCCTTTAAACTTTATTTAATGTTCTGTGAAATACAGATCGCACTCTTGTAATATTTGTAACAACAATACTGCCTTTTCACAGAGAGGCTCCAACAATGTATTTCAAAACTACTAATCTTTTTGAAACAACCTGCAAAATAATCTAAAACTTACCTAGTGGGCCAAAGTTTCTCCTTTCCTGCACAATAGCATGAAAAAAGCAAAGGCCAAACAGCAGTTTTTGCCACATTTCTGGCTCCTGGCAACTGCTAAAGAACACAGGGTCGGAGATGGGGTCGTTAAGGTATGATCGAAGAAGGTTGGCTCTAACTCCTTTTGGAGGCTCATTTGTCATTTTGATGCCGTTCTGGAGGATACTAACAGGAAACTTTTCTGATGGATAACTAGTTAACCACAACCTGAAAATAATTTTTAAAAGCACATTATCAAAAAATCACCAATATTGACAAATCCTCAATATTGATCTGCAAAAGACTAAGTTTTCTTACTTGCTTAACTATAATGATAACATCTAAATTTGTTCTAATGTGCAGGCATAAAGTAGATTATATTGGACAGGTAAAAAAGATGACATCCTAATTAGGTATCTTTATTTTATCACGGCACATAGACGATATGAATGTTATACATCATTGTTCACACAAATGAAATTTAATTTATTTTTACTAGTGTCTTCAGCAAACAAGAAATACTCCCATTAAAAAGAGCAAAATATTAAAACTCCCACCTGAACTTATCATTGGTATTCTCAGGCACTATAACTTCCTCACAGATTTTTTCCAGAGCAGGCATCCAGCTAATTGCGAGATGGCAGTTTTGTAACACTACCCAGGTTCCATCAGTGATAGCCTGATAAATCATTTTTGCTGCTATTGGGCCCTGGCCCTGTCCAAGTGAAATAGTTTGAATGCTTGTGCCTCCCATGCCAACATCATCAGCAAATTTTAGCAAACCTACGATGGAAAGTTTCATACATGTAAACAAAGTCTATTAGAAAGTAGATCTATGTTACGTTAATCATTTTTATAATGTAAAAAGTAATTAAAGGGGCAAAAGTCAACAAATACTTTACACAACTGAAAAAAAAACCAAAAAACAAAACACCTCAACAACTCATAAGTAGTATCAAATGCTGTTTTAGTCACTGTGTTTCTGCAGTATATGCTAAAATTTAGGAGTATAAAGTAATACTAAAAAACCCCCCAAACTTATCCAGGTTAAATGCCTATCCTGTCCTTTAGCCCTGTGTGCTCAGTTCCAGCCTGCACTACAGCTCTCTACTCTCAGTTGTATGGGTACAATTGTTAATGGGGGTTGAGCTGTAAATTGGATCTTTAGATCTGGTTAAAAATAACCCTCCAGCTTTGCCATCAAAACCAGTACCTCCTGGAAATACATCCTTACAGTATGGCTCCATATTACAATTCTTTTGGCAGAAAACCAGGTTTAAAAATAATCTGGGTGGTTATTTTTTAAAGAACATTTAACAGATGTATTTTTAAGTGCGGTCATATAGACCACTTAATTAGTAACTGAGAGGGAGGAAACTTTCTGGAGGAGGGGTTGCAACAAAGACTGGAGCAAGTCCCAAACACCCACTGAAAGAACTGTAATGCAATCATAAATTATAAACCGGTCTGGATCTTACAAGCTGTTAGATCCCTAAATTGCTGCTCAGAGACCTAGACATTTCATCACCACTACATTCATTGCATCCTCTAGCAATTTTACTATCATTGTTTATATATGGGCAGATGCAAGTGTTTGATATTCCATCACTGCTGTGTTATACTTTAAAGACACTTTAAAAATCAAATTAAAGGGCCTACACTATTAGCAGTTTTGTCACACTCAGTGACATTTAACCAGATTTAAAAAAAAAAAATTAAATACCAATCTCACCTGCCATAGGATCAGCACCTGGTGATAATACAAAAATCAAAGGGGCACAACAATTTGAATCACTGTAACTTCTTTCAAGATCAAAAGTAGGTGGTTCAATAAATGTTCTTTCCATATTTTCCACAATGAACTCCTGCACTGCTGGGATAATTTTGTCAGGTCTCAAACATCTGAGAATAACCATGCGATCTAAACCCATCAGTGCACTCCACGGATCTGGGAAGGTTTCTTCATGGGGTCTTGCAGAGTCATATATTAGTTTCCACTTTGAAGAATTCTCTCTTACATGTTCCATTAGTCCCTGGAGGTTTGTCAGACTAGACGCACGTACGAGCTCGGCCCACGATTTGTCAGATAGCCAATCTGGAGCTGGATTGGGGTGAGGATTATCAAGAGCAACACCTCCTGTCAGTAGGAAACGCCAAACCTCATCATCTATTTGGTCTTTTCCCTTCATAATGCCTATTGTCAGAAGGAAGGAGAATAACAGCTTATCCTTTTCAAACAGTGAACGACAGACATTATTATAGATGCTTATTGTGAAATGCTCAGTTATATTTTTAATTCTCTCTTCTAGATTTTCACTCTTTTTGCTTTTAGCAATAGACTGAACATACAAGTTAATGAACCAAATCAGTGAATACTGGTACATAGGTTCAATGTTTGCCAGATCAGAGATGCAGAAGAAGACAACAGCTGAATGAACAGCAACTGGCTTATACCCCATTCGAGTAGAATCTATTTGCATCTCAGTTACAGAAGCAATTTTTTGCTTTTCAGAGATTTCTTCAGATAACTCTTTGGATGAAGACAAAATATGAATTGCTGTTTCATCTTCTAAGATGTTTCCTTCTGAATTGGAAAGGACCTCCAGGATTTTATCTTCTATTTCCTTTAGTTGTTTCTTGTTGGCTGCGCTTTCTATAATCATTTTATTTTTCATTTCTTCTAGCTCAGGCTTTTCCTCTGCAGCTACAATTCCAAGAAGCTGGTCCTGAAGACCCAAAGGTGTAATCATGAAGTTGAGCAGACAAACTTTCACAGCCACTTCAGGAAGATAATGAGGATTTCTTAAGCAGGTTGTTATGTAAAACCTGAAATCTCTTGAATATTCAATTATATTTTCCCCTAATTTCATGTATTCTACTCCTTGTTGTTTGAAAGTTAGTTTTAATAAAATGGGTTCTATGAAAGCATCTAGTTCTTCACCAATATTTTCTAGCAAGACCGGTGTTCCAAGCTGAATAGCATTTTCTAGTGTCCTCACATAATGTGTGTCAGATAATTTAATAACTGATAGCCTGTTAGTTTTTTCCATATTTTTTATCCACTTGTTAGCTTGCCTTTGAGGATCTATCATTAAAGTCCATCTTCTTGAGTTAGAAACAATTATGCCATTGTCAATGGAAAAAGAATCAACTGGCAACCCAGCAATCTGCCATGCACGGATTTTGACTGGATCCCCTAATGTATTACTTAAGCTAAAATCACTGGAGCACGGTATTTTCTTTTCATTGCACAGGACTTGCCATTGCTTTTGACATTTTAGACGGTAATCTACAGTAAAGGCTCCCAAATAAGCCACAGTTCCTGATGATAACAACACATCTCCTATAAGGTCTATGTACCGGATTCCTAATAATCGTGCAGCTTCTGTCCACCTATCTTTCTCTCCACCAAGACCACTAATTAGCTGTTCAGCTCTCACAAGCTTTTGTGAGCAGAGTTCAATATTATTTTCTAATTCTCTCTTCCGGTCATTCATGTTCTCAAACTCATCATTCAAAGCTTGGAGGCGATCAACTACTTCCTTAAGTTCTGCTTGTTTTGCTTTCAGCTTCTCCATTTGAACTTCCAGTAATCCTTCTGCAGTTCTCAAACGTTCACGCTTTGGGGCAACCACCTTTGCAACACGGTCATAGATCTCCATGGCTCGTACCCACTTGCATAGTCCTTCACAGGCAGATGAGACATTTTTTATGACAGCTGGCTGAAAATCTGGATTATCAATAAACCTCTCTCTAATTCTCTTCATTACAGCGGGAGGAATATTATCCTTGTCATAAGTCTTTAAGCTCTCAAGGAATTTCAGATCCCCAAGAATTTTTCTAGATGGCCCCCAGTAGTCTTCTATCATTTTACCTATATTGCAAAAAAAAAAACCAAAAAACAAACCACAAACCTAAAATCAGGCTTAAAACATGCACGTTCAATCTGAAAAAAATACTTGAAACATAATATGAAGAATTAACATCAATGATTTTGCAACAGAATTTTATTATGCAACCACTGTTAACTAGTTTGGGAAAGTCATTACCTAAAGAAATTCAGAGAGGAACTTCAGCATCACTAACCCATGTCATATTTATTAATTACATGTTAATTCTAAATTAAACAAGCAAAATAAGGGAAACAAAATACTATGCAGTCTTTCTTAGCATATTTTATTAGATAAATCAAGTAGCTATGTGAAAGCATGCCTTCCTAATCTAGATAAGACAGTTTTGAATGAAAGACATTTATAGAATTCTTATTCTCAATTATGAAGGGCTGAACTGTGGGGGCATAAGGCAGAAGAAAAGGGGAAAAAAAGGTCTCTTCCCTTTCCTACCTTGCAAATCCTGTGCAATCCCACAGTAACAACATAACCCACACAGAAAGAGCTTGTTAGAGCAATCACCTATGGCAGGGGTATAGCTAGAATTCTGTCTCCCAGTGTAACTGATAGAGTTTGGTAGCAGGGATCAGAGGGGAAAATACAGTTGAATGGTGCACAGCACATCTCCAGCTCTCAGAGTTGCTCAAGGGCATGCAAATCTCAAGATTGGGTCAAAGCAAGTTGAAAAAATTACTGTGCTGGCACCTGGGATCATATTTACAAAGCTGGTACAACAGTGTCAAGCAAGGGCAGTACCTTACAAAGGCAAAAGCAGCTTTTAGCTATTCAGTGTAGTTATTAGTCCTTGCCAGCAAAACACACTTTCAGTGCACATGGCTGCATTCACGCCAGAAACACTTCACTACTACAACACAGCAGTACCCCAAGCATCCCTAGGGCTGGGATAACAAACACTGCGTCATTACCGCTGCCACTTGGATCAGGCTTTCTCTCTGGTTTAGTTCCCTTCATGACACAGATACTCTCCATGACAAGCTTAACAGGAGCAGGTGGATTCTGCATGGATTTCACAAGAGTGATGTCTGAAGGATTCAGGGTATCAAGAGCCGCAAGTGCTGCCTCCAAAGCTGGCATGGCCTCAGCAAGGTCTCCTTCACATTCATCCTGTTAAGACATTGGGCAGAAGCCTGTAAACCTTCATACAATACCACGTCTGCAACCTGATTACCCCACTACAGCACAGCCTCAGAGAACCTTCTCTGCTTCTAAATACCTAATAAAAAGACTCTTCACAACAATGTGTTTCTCAGACAGAAAACTACTTTTCACATTTCACAATTTGTCTGTGCAGTTTAAAGAGGGAAGATTTGTAGAGAAATTAGCAACTTCCACAAACTGAACTCATAGCTGAAAAAGCCAGAGAAGCTTTCAAGGTCAAAGTCTCTCTGGTCTGACAAAGAGAATTAAAATACAGGTTAGATGCAGTTTTTCTTAGTTAAATCTTACAGTGCTGATCAGGTAAAAACATATACTGTGTAGTTTAAATTATTTATAATGTACTCAGATATCTGTAATTATCTATCTTCTCTACCACTGACATTTCCAACTAATTACAAAAAAAAAAAATATATTGAGGAATCCTGCAGCTTCCCACGGGAAATTCTGCGCTACAGACATCTGGCTACAGCAACATCTCTTAGGTTATGCCTAATAGGGCTCCATGCAGCACTATGCCAAATTACCTCAGCTAACTCTAAACAAACTGTCTTTGGGCCTGGAAACAGCATAACCTCATTATTCAATGTGTTGAGAAGGAGAATATACTAGTACAGCAATAAGAGCTATACAGCTTTTGGGATGTGAACTAGAAAGGGAAGCTATGCAGTACTGTGAGGTACAGTCATACTGCAAACAGCCATAAACCACCTTGTTTATATTAGGAAACATCTCGTTCATCATCTCTTGCAACTTTGTTACTTTAAGAGCTTGGATCATACCATTAACACATCATCACAACTCCCATTTACTTGGAAAGACTTGGAACTCATCATGCTCCAGGCTCAAGCCCTTGTACACTACCTTAATAGCTTTAGCAACAGCTGCTGCTTCATTCGCCTCCTTTTCATCTGCTGACACTAGTTCCTTCTTTGCATCTACTTCAATTGTTTCCTTTTCAATCTTGATCATCATTTTGTCCGTTTCTGCAGAAGTTTGAATCAGTTCAGGCTGAAGGGCAGTCAGTTCTTTCTGCATCTCTGCAATCTGATGAACATAAGGAAATATATACCCCACATAATCCTTTATTGTGCAGGTGAAAAGCAAAATCTAAAAGAAACTTGTAAGGAAACACAGAATTTGTGACAGCTGCAAAATGTTCTTTTTCATCCAGGAAGTATGTGGAAGCCTCTTTAACTTGCATCTTGGAAAGATCAACCCCTGGATCACATGGGCTGAAAAAGAGGGTTATTTACCTGGAACCTGATCAATTTCCTACTGGGAATCTACTCAGGAATTATTTTTTTTTTATTCTTGTCTTACAACATTCTTCAACTTCTCCCCTGTTTTGAAAAGGGTAATAGGTACCAGGATGCCGAGGCATGGATTCTCCATATAAAACTTTGAGAAAATAATGAAATTTGTAAGATTTATTCCTTCAACATTTAATGAATACCATCAATTTAATTTATCTTTCTATTAAATGCTATAATCCAAACTTACATATCACAGCTTCTTAAAATGACTAAGCAGTAATATAACTTTTCCTGTTGGCTTTCTATAGAAAATTATCAATGGCATCATGAATGTAGTGAAGAGGGAATTTTATAAGTTTTATTTTTATAAGTTTTAATCAGCTTATACAGACCCCATACTAAAGTATGCATATGGCACATATTTGGTGAATCTTACTTGTGAAGATGCAAAGTCAAGTTTTTGAAGTCCCATAAGATAACGAGTTCTCATCATGTCAACTTCTTGCCTTTTGCTATTCAGCAGAGTCTTAAAGGTAAGAATCAACTCTAGGTATGAAGTTGGTGTCACATAGTTGCGTCTTTGCAGTGTAGTGTAATAGCTGATGGAGAGCTCCCTCACACTTTCTTGGAAATACTTGCACATTGACACAACCCTAGAGAAAATTTTTCCACATTACTATGAAAATACAATTTGTCTTTAGGTTAATTATGAGAAAATTACTCTAAACTTATGAAATTATATTAGTGTTAGTGAAGGCAGAATTGTTTTTTCCCCATTATAAGAAATATTTTAGATTCCTTTCAAAGAGTGCCTTGATTTTCAGAAACATCAGATACATATAGCCAGGTATCTTTGACTTGCAGTGTGGTGTGGTTTTGTCCTGGCCAGCAGCCAAACACCACGCAGC